TTCTCATTCTTGAGCAGTGACTTGGCCTGCTGCTCACTGATGATGGTGGCCTTCACCTGGGGGGGGTTCATGTGCACGTTCAGCTTCCCGCCCACCAGCAGGCGCACCGTCGCTGCAAACTTGGTCTGGGTCTTCAGGACCTGAGGGGGCTGCTTCTCGATGATGAATGTGCTGCGGGGACACAAGTGACCACACCAGACATGATGCCGGCTCAGGGCACAGGGTCTGGTTCCCCTGTGGAGGGAGGCTGCCGGGGCTCAGCAGGCAAATGAAGGCACATGGCACCGCCCCTGTTCCCAGGGAGGCCACTGAGAGTCAGAGGAGATGGCTGGAGGGGAGGCAGTGAAACGACTCAGCAGCTGGCATGGGCTGCGGGGGACAAGGGCAGTCCACATGGTGTCCACAACAGAAACTGGGCAAGGTCAACACCAAGCAGCTGAAGCAACTGAGGACAGAGCGGGGACGGGGACCCGAGGCAAACAGAGACAAGGACTCAAGCAAGAGCCCACCCACCCCCACCCCCACCATCAGCAAAGCACCGCCTGCCTCCCCCATGCCAACCGCACGGGGGCTGGGTGTGGCCCGAGGCAGGAATTACCTGGTCACCAGGGCTGAGATGATGTCTGTGATGGTGGCATTGACCTCAGCTAGCATCTCCTCCACTGGGCCAGGGATGGGCAGCTGCTGGCAGAGGTGCTCAGCTCTGCGGATCTGCTGCCGGTTCTGCCAGATGATCTCGGCCAACTTCTCGCACCTGCACGGGAGCCCCAGGCCAACGGGAGGACAATGGCATCACGCCATCCCCCCGGCTCGAGGCTGGGAGGCTCCAGTCCGAGGAGAACGCCCCAAGACCCAGCTCCAGCCTCACCCAGGAAGGCTTTGCGCCTAAGCCGCCACTCCCGGCCACGGAGCGGAGCAGAGCAGAGCAGAGCGCCCGCCTTCCAGAAACACAGAGAAATACACAGAGGCAGCAAGCCTGAAGTGGGTCCAATCGGCCCGAGCGTCACTCTGCACACCCAGCCCTGCCCCACTCCCCAGCACGGTGACTCCCTTCCTGGGCAGGGGGCACAGACGGGGGCCCCAAAGTCCGCATCAGGAACCAGAACCCCTAGTGAACTAAGTCTTGCCGCAGGACAGAGGGAGCCGGCTGCTCATGGAAACGCAGGAGGCACCACGAGCAGCTGGTTGCACCACTCCCAGCCCCTGCCGCCACCTCCTGCCCCCTCCTGCCCCCCGCCACCCCCCACACACCATTACCAGGACTGCAGCACATCCAGGCTGCCCTCGGGGGGCCCTCCGTTCCCCGCCAGCTGCTGCCGCCGCTTCCACTGGATCAGTTCATCATCCAGAATGATGGTCTGCTGCTTCCGCAGCAGCTGCAAGGTCTTCTGGTGCTTCTCGGCCAGCTCCTGAAGGCAAGTGGGGAGAACACGCCCAACTGCAGGCCTCGGGAGGCAGGGCTGGGGGCCAGGGACCAGGCCCCAGGCCCAGGCCTTCCCCTCTTCCCAACCTGCTCTGCCCACATGCCGCCCACGGGAGAGAACGATCTGGCCTCCAGCTCTGCTCGGTCCTGCTCTCTTCCTGGCTCTAGCCCTCTCTCGGCTTCCCCGCGCCCCTTGGGATGTGCACCTCAAGGCTTGGGAGGAGAGGACGCGGATCCCACTCACCACACGGTACTGCTGCAGCGTCTGGGCCTCCCGCTGCAGCCAGGCCTCCAGGGACACCTGCTTCTGCTGGAGGGCCGTCTCCCGGCTCAGGCGCTCCTGCGGATTCAGCTGGGCCAGCTGGGCAAACTGAGCTAGAGGAGGGGACAGGACACCCATGACCATCATCTCCCAGCTTCCTGCAGGAAGCCCAGGGGAACGCACACACCTGTTCTGGAGGCCAGACCCTCAAGGGACACATCTGACCGATGGCAGGCTGGGCTTCCGGCAGCCAAGGGTGCCAGAGATGAGCAGGCTCTGGTCTCTGGCCTCTCGCCTTTGATCTCCCCTCCTGGGGGTGTGTAGGTGGAAACCTGAGGGTATAGCTGAGGACGACCCTGCCCCACGGCCTCCCGTCCCACCTCAGTCTACACAGCTGGCTGCCCAGACCTCCTCACGCCACACGGGGTCCAGCTTGGAGCCTCACTGCCTGGTTTGATGTGTGCCCTCACCGTTTACTGACTGGGTGAACTCGTGCATCACGCTTCTGTGCCTCAGTTTGCCCATGTGCAAAATGGGAGAATCCTGGCCCCTGCTTCGGTGGGTGGCTGAGGATTAAATATGTGGGAACACAGAACACGTTCAAGGAACTGCCCGGCACGCACACGCTGCAGGGATGAGAGTGTCCTTACTGGTCAGGGGGTCCCAGGGCAGGCTTAAAGGGTGACAGAGACCAGTAGCCGCTCAGCCCCACCCCACACATCAGAGCCCCCTCAGGGCAGCCCCTGCCTGCTGGCTTTGTCCCATCTCCAGCTTTGTCCCATCCCCGGGAGCACAGCAGTCTCTCCTAGGGAAGAAGGCATTTCTCTAGGTGCTGGGAGGTGCCTAACGTGTTTGTTTGTCCAGGGTGGGTCACCGTGAGCTCAGCTGACCAACTGGAAGGAAAACAGAGGAAGGGAGGAAAGAGAGAAAAAAAAAAAAGAGAGAAAGGAGAACAGAGGAAAGAGACAAGATAGAGGAGAGAGGCTAAAGGAAGGAGAGGAGGATAGAAGGCAGAGGGGAAGAGAAAGGAGGAAGGAGAAAAGGAGGAGGAGGAAAAAAGAGAGGAGATAGAGTATCAAAGGAGAGAGAGGAGGAAAAAGGAAGGAGAGGAAAGAAGGAGAGGAGAGAGAAGGAGAGAAGGAGAAAGAGGAAGAGGAGAGAGGGGGAGAGGGAGGGAGAGGGAGGGAGAGGGACGGAAAGAGAAGGGGCGAAAGGGAAAAGGCGAGGGAGACGGGGAGACAGAATGTCCAGGGCCCACTGGCAACACGAAAGCAGCAAGATCCTCTCAGGACAGGGAAGGTTCTAGCACCCAAGGGTGCCAGAGAGGGAGGCAGATTCTCTCCACACCAGCTGCTGGGAAGCTCATCCATGGCAGGAAAGGGGAGTCGGTGAGGCCTCAGTACCCTCTTACAAAACATCTATTATGAAATTCTCAAGACCCAAGGAAGGCAGAAAGAATGATGCAAGGAACACCTGTCTTTCAGTAACCCGGCTTAAAGAAATCAAACATTTCTCGGGGTGCCTGGGTGGCTCAGTCGTTTAAACGTTTGACTTTGGCTCAGGTCTTGATCTCACGGTTTGTGAGTTCTAGCCCCACATCGGGCTGTCTGCTGTCAGCACAGAGCCCACTTTGGAAACTCTGCCCCCCTCTCTCTGCCCCATCCCCGCTTGCATGCACATGCATGCTCTCTCACAAATATAAACATTAAAAAAAAAAAGAAATCAAACATTCCACGTTGAAAACTCCCTGTACATCCTTCCCTGCTTGCACATCCGTCCCTGCCTCCAAAGGTAACCACTATCCTAAATGCTGGGGTTATTACGCCTTGCCGATCACCTATTTGAATATCCCAGTGTCGGGGTGCCTGGCTGGCTCAGTCCATACAGCATGCAACTCTTGATCTCAGGGTTGTGAGTTCAAGCCCCATGTTGGGTGTGCGGTCTATCTAATTTTTTAAAAAAAGAATATTCCAGTGTCCTTACTTGGGCCTGAGTCAAGAGGAGGTGAGCATCAGCACGTCTTGGGCAAGTTCCTGGCAGGCCGCTGAGGGCCCTCTCACACTGACCTATGTCCTGCCTCATGGACACACAAGCTGGGACACACAGACTAAAGCAACTCTAACAGTCAGGAAAAGCCCAGAGCTAGAAGACAACTGGAAATATGGTTTGGATTCCACTCTCGGGGACTGAGAGAGAAGAATACTGTCCAGGCCTAGAACACAGCAGAGCAGTCTGGAGCCACCTCGGAAATCCTGCCCCCATCCCCAGGGAGGTGGTGGTGAGCCCCACACCTGGGCCCAACCTCCCTATGCAGGTGACCCACTTAGGTCTCTCCTGGCACTTTGCAGAAACTTCTGGGAGGGAGGCCAGCAGACATGAGGCAACTGTCTGCTCCACTGGAGGAAGCTGAGCCTCCCCTTGCACAAATAGATCGATAGTCTGTGTTTCTGACGGGTGAACTTGATACATGAGACTGAACTGACATGGCATGCTGGGTACAAACCCAAACCAGAATCAAACCCATATCCATAAATAGGAAACAGAAAACCCAAGAATAGGATTGGAAGTACTATCAACCAGTCAAAGGCTTTGGGTAGAACTAATAGCCTGAATTCTCCCGTTCCCTAATCTAGGAAGAGCGCCACCCTTTCTCTTGCGTCAGCCTGAGATGGATTCAGATGGAAGAAAACATGCTAGAATCATCTCGTCAACACTTATTCATACCTACTATGATTCAGCCAATGTGCCAACCTCAGGGTACAGAGATAAGACACAATCCCTTCTCAAAAAATTTATAATTAGTATGGAAGACTGAGTTAATAATAATAGCAATATCGCTATAAAATTGAGCCCACAAGCATGGTATTAGAGGCGCACATGCTACATAGATGGGTATGTGTCTGTACAGCTGGTCAAGCAGAGGCTTTTCTGAGATTCTCAGCTGGGCATGCTTGCAGGGAGACAAAATTAGTATTAAAGTCACTCTGCCAAATTCTTAACAAGGCCAATAGGGGGCGCTGGTGGGGTTCCAAGCATCAGCCTCAAGACTGAGGTTTTCAGTACTTAAGTACCTAGCAGGATTTATACCAGGAAAGGGACCCTTTGCTTATCAAGGCTAACTGAGGTGCATTAGCAGGCTCTGTGTCAGGACAGCCTCTCTGAATAACTGCATAAAACATTAATGGTTTGTCACTACAAACACAGCCCTTAGCCCTTATACTTTCCCTGCTTGGAGAATTTAACAGTTCAGCAAAGCAGCATTTATGAAACACCAATTATATACAAAAGTACTGTTTACTAGACTGTGAGCTTCTTCCCACAGGAGGAAATTCTTCCCCAGCAGACCAGGAGCTCCCTGGGTGTGGGAAGCCTGAGTGAGACCCACACTCTCCAAAGGCAAGCTCGTGACTCCTCCCCTTCCTAAGTCTCATCCTCCCTGCCAGATCTTTTTTTTTTTTTT